TTCACGTTTTGCGATCCCATATAAGCCGGCAAATTGTTGAATGCAAATGTGACTCTGCCGTTCATTTCACGTGTTTAAAAAAAAAAAAGTAAAAAAAACGTATCGCGATTTATACACTATGGGAAAAATATATAATTCATATGTTTACTATTTATTGCTCTAATGCGATAGAACTTTATGGACATTTTCAGCGAAGAAGCATTTGTTTTATTTTCTTTGCAATGCAATTCTGTTTTCTTCGCATTTGCGGACAATTAATGAATAACTTTAAATGAATTGTTTCACAATATTTTTTTTTCTACTTTGCATTTTATGTTCCAGTCCTTCATCAATAAAAATAGAAATTTATAAGGTTCTAGCGATAAATATAGAGAATCCATGCCTGCAGTTTGTGTCAAAAGATAAAATTGATTGTTTACGTGTGTTTTACGAATTAGAATCAAAACCGATTCGGCTCAGCACTTCAGCTTCCAATCCATTTTTGCGTCGCTTTGTGTCGATTGCATTTTAACTTGTTTATTTTTTTTATCATTATTATATATTTTCGCGCCTGTTTCTAACGTGTCCCAAAGTGGATACACACAGTGTAAGTACGTATATTTCCGCTCTTCAGTCACATGGTTTGAATGCAATAACCAGCATTTGTTGTGAAAATATAGATCTTGCATACGTGCCTATTTCTTGCAAATGATTTTTGCACGGCGTGCACAAGTCGATATGGCACTGTGATTGTAATGTAAATTCTATACATTTGCAGCGCAAATGCACAACGAAAATACAACATTTGCTCTTGCATTGTATCGTCGATTGTACGCTAGATCAGGTCTCTTTTTTTTGCTTTCTCGCACCTAACCGATTTTCTGTAAAAATGAATTGCAACTATCGACAGAAAAAAAGACATAATACCTGATTTTGTGTGCTGTTGTGTCCCGCGTGTAAAACATTGATGAAGTTGCTTAGTGTTCATTTTCTAGTTTGCATGCATATATCTTTTGTTAGGGCATCTAAAGAAACTGGTTTGTATTTAGCCCAATCAACTGCTGCTTTACTACAGCACTTGCTCTTTTTCGCATCTCGCCCAACGTAAGTCCGTTGATTTAATACGAAATTGAAGTTCAGCGTATGAACTCCATGCATTTTGTTTTCATTTGAATTTTACTTTTCATCCGTATTTTCGCTGCGCTCAGCACTTTATTTTTGTGTTTGTGTGTGCCTGGTTTTTGTTGTTGTCGTTTTTTTGCGCAGCAAACGATGATCGTACGATCATCCACAACGACTAATACAAAATCCATTTAATGTTGCCTGGTGCTTTTTTGTCAGTAGCTGCAACACACTTTTCTGTATGAATATTTCTATGGTTTATACGTTCTTCGTGGTTTCGCATGTGTACGCGCACGCTCAAGCCAGCAAAATTTTCAGAAAACTGGACAACAAGCGAATGTTGTCGATTGCTGCTGCAGCAACTATGGTAAGCGCCTAAGTACGCAATAAATGCTTCAATAATAATCATTATGTAAATGTGGTGTTATGCAACTGATCGATAGCGATGAAAAAAAAAACATAACTAAATTGAAATTAACCATAGACTGTACATCGCCACATCATTGAATGTATGAATTTATGTTCCATCATGTCTCCTAATCGATGTCAATGCACAACGTCTATTGCATCATGTGTTTTTGATGCGAGTTTTTTTTCTCGGTTTCTTATTTTAGTTTTTTTTTCTTCGAGTTCGTCACGAACTGATTCATTTCAAGGGTCTTCGATTCAAGTATTGAATTTCGGGAAAAAATGTGTTGCATTTTTATGATAGAAGCAATTATCTACAGATCAAAACAAAAATGAACAAGTGTGTTTGTTTGTTTGCAACATTTTATTGGAAAACAAAATTTAACGCCCACGCCTTTTTTTCGGTTAAGAATTTTCGTGCGCTCATTGTGGGCGTGTTTCCACAAAAAGAGCATTTTTTACGCAAAAATACCAGTCGCTTGAAATGTAATCGTATCAACTGTGGAACAAGAGGAAAAAAAATTATCTATCAGCTTTGCACTACATTGAATACAATTAAATATTTTCGAAAATTCAATTCCTATTTTGTATCTTCCCTTTATTTATCCAAACATAAATTTCCTTTCAAAGTGAATTTTTTTGTCCGCAAACCATCCCAAAACTAAAGCATCGCAAGAACATGTACTGCTACATTAAACCCTCTGGAACTAGAACACACCTCCTTGGCAACCGAATCCGAGCATTTTAGTTGTAATCGAATAATAAGGATGAACAAAAAATCAAATATTCTAGGGATAAAAGCATCGTAACGCACACCACCTTATACACACCAATACGCACACCCGAATCGTCGTCCAAAAACTCTTACAACGCATGTAAGAAAACGAAGTCGACGCTCAGTTCAACAGCCAAAAATAAAACCCATATTCAATTTTGTCGTTTCGTTCTCTTCCTGGTTTTCTCTATTTCGCTGTACACAACGCACGTTCAGCGCTATTCTATTTGGTATCATTCCGCTTGGTTCTATATTGAATTTGTGTTTGTATGCCTTTTATGTGTTTACCAATGCCCAAAAATATCAACACCCCAAAAATATCAAAATATCGCTTCGTGTATGGCCGTATAAAAACCCAATGTAAAACACAATGCTGAATACCGAAATTTATTTTGGCAAGTAAATAGGAACAGCGACCCTTATTAGAATTCAAATGGGAAGATTTCCGTGTGTAACATATTCACATGAAACTCAATAAATATACTTTGGCTAAGTCGCGAATACGTAGCGCTTACAATCCACACACACACTCTATGTAATTCAATTCTCATCGATTCTCCGTTTTGCTATGTATTTCATTCCCCTCATTTCATCAAAATAGCTAAATGCATATATTGTATATGTACAGTATTAAGCGCTGAACACCGTTCCCGCTGCAGCGTACAGTGATATTCATATTGTGTGTGCGCGTTTACCATTAAACTGTATTGCTGACTAAACTTCGATACTGGAAGTCATTCCATTGGTTCTCCTTTTGGTCGCATGCAACGTTCGATTCTTTTCAATTCTGTTGGGATTTCTGATATATCATTTCAGTATCGTTTCAATGCTCACCGAAAGAAATCAAGACATATAAAATAACCAACAGCAGAAAATCTATTCGTACGAAAAAATCTTTACTTATGCCATTGAGAATTGCATGTTAGCATTTTCTATTTTTGAACTGTTTGCCCTTTTGTAACGTTGATATTCCATTGGGTTATTTCGAATTCTTTTTAAAATGTATGAGCGACCACAGGTTATTTTATTCTCCATTAAATGCCATTAATTGTTGGCCTTTCAATTTGATCGAAGAAAAAAACGAAAAAGTTTTCTTTCCATTAAAAGAAAAAAGACAAGAAGTCATTTGCCGATTAACTTTTCGATTGAACTCTCTTTCAATTTTCGTTCTCGACACTCAGTTCTTGTTACATAAAGAGAATAAAATTGATGAGTAAAATAAAAGTTGCATGTTTTGCAATGAATTAATTGGTAGCAATTAAATGAACTTAATTGAACGTTTGTTTTGGTGCATATAAGTTGGAAATTTTGCATTTTATGCGCACAAGATGCAATATACTCGATCGTCAACAAAATGTTTTTTTTTTTCGTTCAAATCAATTGACTCAATAGTTTTTCCTAGATCAAAATAACTCTTTTCAATCAATTAATTTTTTTCTCGCTTTTATATTACAAATGTAACGCATGCGTTAAAAAAAAAAAAAAAAAAAAACAAATTGTACGTTTAGTTTTTTTTCAGTCGTAATATTGACTATTCCGAGCCATATCCTGGGATTTTTAATTGGATTGAACAAAAAAAGAAGAAAAAAAGGATTTAATTCGTTCTGTTGACCCGTTTTATGAAAATATTGAAACTAGTTAATAATTCACGAAGCTCACTCCAATCATTGCCGTCAATCGAATTGTCGATGAATCTCGAGTTGTGAATGCCGTACAATATCTCTCCTGTAAATCTGATGAATTTTTTATTTAACTTCTCTGTGCGTTTTATTCAGCTGACTTTTTAACCGTCTGACCTAAATGACTTATTTTAACATGAACCATCGACAAAATCAATAAATTCTCTCTAAAAGAGATAGTTTTTATTAATCACTTCCAAAAATATCGAAAATAATATTTGATTTAAAAGATCTACGAAATATTTGGTTCGCATAAAATTTTGTATCATTTTCGAATATGTTCATATAAATCCAGTGTGATTCTAATTGAAATGTGTATTTCAAAGCAAGAAACGCGTTGAATGCTTTAGTGACGAAAAATCGACAACATTATCAAGTCAGAGTAGAACGAACAGAACAGAAAAAAACACAACAATAATAATAACAACAACAACACATTTAGTCTCGTATGCTGCGTGCGTTTTACTTCACCTCATATTCGTAGTTTTTGTTGTTTCATATCGCATTCAAGTCCATGCCATTCGATATAAGTCTGTCGCGTTCGCACACTGTACGATATTGAATTCAGATTCGGTTTTGAACACTCAATGCACTCGTCACACTGTATTCTCTTCTCGGATTGTATTTTGTCAACGAAAGAACGTTCACAGAATGCTCTTCTGTCCCTCGTTTCACACTTTTTCTAGCGCGCGAGTTTTTTTCCCTCTTTCTCTTCTTCGGTGTTTTCTTTTGTTCTGTTTCTAACATATATGCATTCGTTGCAAGCAAACGATACGGTCGGACCCACATATGTGTATGTGTGTGTGTGTGTTGTGCATACACTCCGATTGCTGCCTGTCTGGTTCAAATGCATGCACGCAAGCAACGCACTCAACTCCCATTGCCATTGTGTATGTTGTGTGTATGCATGTGTATGTGCGCTATCGACGCATACACGAATATGAAACGAACGGGCGACAACGACTCTCTATGTGCATCGAACGCACACGATACAGAACCACGAGTCGTCGTTTTCATAATCAGTTTGAAACGAACAACGAAGCGAGTGAGACGTGTTTTTGGTTAGTTCTTGTAATCATTTCAAAAAAATATATTCTTAACAAAACTCAAATCAATCACGAAAAAATTCTGAGTTCTTATTATTTTGCGTTTTTGAATATTCAGTTCAACAACGAAAAAAGAAAAAATCGAAGCATCGAATAAATAATAAAAATAAATTCATCATTTAAATAAAACAAACACCATCCGAATAAAATAAAAATTTGATTTTCGTCAAAAAATTTGAAAATTAATTTTTTTGTTATTTTCTTTGGTGCGCAGCAATAGTTTATGTGAGAAAAGAGAAAAGACTTGAAAAATATAATCAGCAACAAGACTTGAAGAAAGCAAGACCGAAAAAAATCGAGTGATAAACACTTTTGTTTGAATAAACTTATTTTTCATAACTTTTTTATGTTGGAATTGATAGCACGTCTAGAGCGCTTTGCGAATGAAATTGTTACGAACTCGAACAATATAAAAACGAATAAAATCTGAAACTGCATTTAGTTAAACGAAACAAAAACATTTCATCTGATTTTTTTTTCTGAAAAAGTTTTTTTTTATACAATCGAAAATCAGAAATCATCTCAAAACCAAACAGTGATTCAAAAGCCAAATAATCAAAGACATAACGAAATTTAAAAAAAACAGCAAAAAGCGTGCCTGAAAGCAAAGTGATTTCTATTCAACAAACAAACGAAATTCAGTTCTTTTATAAAACTCATTTATTTTATGTGAAGCAATTTTTGTGCATTTTCACAAGAACAATTTAAAAAACTGAAAACTCAATGGCAAGAAAAATTGAACGATTGAAAAAAATCCGTAAGAAATTCGATTGACGTTAAATAAAAACAACAACATTTTTAATACAACAGAATAAAGAGAACATTACTATACTGAAACAGTGTATTGAACAATTTTCCGGCAACATACATAAAAACGCAAACTTTTTCCTTGTGCAGTGCTCATTTAGTGCGTGCGCAATCCGTCGAAAATAAATTCTAAGACACAGAGATAGAAAAAGAGAGAGAGAAAGATGGCAGTCGGTTTTTTTGCTGATGATGGTGATGACCACCTTAATAGTTCTTACCACACAACAGTAATCACCACAAATTCGGCCACACAAACACCCCTACAGAGCCCGGTTAGCCACGAATATCTGGTCCAAGCATTCTGTGAAGCCTTACACCGATGCTCAATTGCTGGTAAGTACTTGAAAAATTATTTTTGTGAAGAATTTTGATTTATTTTTGTGTTGTGAAGTGAATTCGATATAAATGTGAAATGTGTGTTGATTTTTTAATAAAAAAAAAAAATTATTTTGCAATTATTTTTGCTCAACAAAAATATTAACGTAATATTTTTCGATAACAGTCATTTTTTTCCAAACAAACATGCATGCAAATAGAAATTCAAAAAATGAACAGAAGATAAAACATCGTGAATAAAAAAAAAAAAACAAAAACAAAAATGCATAATGAAATGCATATGTTATGTTTAAAATGAAATTTAATCCTTTCGATGGATAAAAAAAAAAATAAACATGAGGAGAATGCTTTCATTAAACATGCCATAAATGTGTGCAAAACATCATGATTACAGTTAATTTTTAATTGAATTCTGTCATTGTGCGTGCGTACAAATGATTTGCCACTTTGAAAACAAAAAACAAGAGCCAAGTTAATTTTTTTTCCTTTTCAATCCTTCCTTCTTCAAAAATAACGTACACAAAAAATATTCATTTCGCTTACTTATAATCAAAACAAAAACTATATTTTTCTTCCATTTTCGGCGCATAATATTTTCGAAGCTCCATTTACAACGTTGTCGAATGGCAGAACAAAGAGAAAAAGGATTGAGCAAAAAAATAAATGAATTAAATAATTCATTGTCGTCGTCGTTGAAGAGTAGCATTTGTTGTTGTTTTTGCTCCGAGAAATGCAGTGCAAAACTTTTTGAACGAAACCAAAAGTGAACGAACCGATGATGAGTGTATTTCAGTAGCGACGGCAATGGCACAATACGGAATTGGTTTAATGTAACAAGTGTGTTTCTGTGTAATGGCATGGCACACAGTACAACATCACTGGCTGTGTGCAATTCGCTCTCATATCGTTGTTCGTCTCGACCGGAGCTCTCAACGTCCATATGACTGCTGGATGTAACATTAAAGTGCACTTGCACTTTTCCACATTTTCAGCTTGATTTCGCTATCATGCTTTTCGTTTGGCAAAATCGTATCTATGCAAATCACGTATTCTGTAAAAGCCATTCACTCCAGCTCTCTACTTTTGCTCTGCTGCACACAACTATTTCAATCAGTCATTTTTGCATTCGTTAAAAACCACCCAAATTGGCACTGTTTTGCGGTAGATTGACGCAATTTGAAAATAATGTTTATTACGCGCCAGAGAGGTAAACAGCGGAAGTTTTAGGCAAAATTATCCACACAAATGGAAAAATGACAGATTCGAAAAACTGATTCACAGAAAAAGCGCAGAGAGAGACATGATTTACTTGACAAAATGATCTTTTTACCTAAAAATTAGAATGTCGTCGCAGTGGTTAATCTTTGGCTTAACTGCAATCAGTAAAAGCAGACATGATAAGCGTGTAGTCTTTCAAGATGCATGATTGTACATGTTATGACTTATATTATGAAAACATTATATAACACATACGAATAACATATGTAACGAGAAAGACGAGCAAAGAGAACCAACTAACAAACACTTTTCAATGTTATTTTGTTCTTGTCTCCTCTTTTTCTTTTTCATCTCAACCTCCTACAAGCACACCTGGCTTTTTGACAGAGATGGAATGAGCGAAAAAAAGGCACTCAGTAGATTTTATAGATAAAGTATATACCCACAAACAAGCTTAAATTTCATGAATTTATTAAATCAAAATGTAAATGATTCAGAAAACTTTGGATAACAACTAAAACTGGTTAAAATTGCAGCGCAAATGAGTTTCGCTGTTGGGGCTTTGTGAAATGCACTTTTAAACATCCATTTTGAAAAGTTTTTCACCATTGAAACTTGATGGCAACAGAGAAAATATATTTAACAGAAAACCTGCATATCTATCGCGAACGCGCATTTTTTCCTTTCAATTAAAGTAAAAAAAACACACACACATATGTATACTTTATTTTCGGAGTGAAATTGTGGAAAATGCGCAAAATAAACACACATTGAAGCACCAAATGAACATAGTCGAATAGTATAGATATCAGATTACATGCATTTCAAACTCCTTTTTGTGTGTGATATCAAATTAACAGTCAGAGCATCGAATCCATAAATTATATATTCATGATATTGACTTTTGCATTATGACAAACATTAAAACATTCCTTTTGTTGGATTAATTTTGGGAATTTCATGATATCAAACACATATAACAAAAATACATCACAATAGAGCAGTGAATCGCAAAATCCAGTTAGAATTGATGAACAAAACGCGACGCATATACATATATATAGCAAGTTTGCGTGTATTTTTAGAGCACGTACCGTACAAATGCCGCAAAATATTATGACTAATAATAATTCCATAACTAACATTGAAACATGATGTGTATGTAGAGAGCGAGAAAATTACCTAAAACCACAATTCGCTCGTGCACACACAAACATTTGCCGTCGTCGTCGTCGTTGTTGTCGCCGTCGATACACACCGCCAACTAGTCCGTGCTTCTCTCTATCTCTGTCATATAGACGCGCGGCCCGTCGGTTCATTGACACGTAATATGTTATGACTCGTGTGTTTTTTGTACTCTAATAAAACTTACCGAAAAAATACCGCACGAACCAATGAGTTGAATTTGAGATTCAAAAAAAAAAAAAAATAGAAAAAAATAACTGAAACCAAGCACTTCAATCAGCGACGTACACAAAAGTACACAAAATGAAGCGAAAAATTGGCACTTATCGTCTTTTTAGTAGTTATATTCTCTTAATACCGTGGTCAGAAGATAAAGCCATCAAATGGCTCAAACAAGCGAACGCTACACACTTAAAAGCGTGAAGCGTGAGCCAGATACAGAGAGAGAGACAATGTTCAATAGTATGGAGTAGTTAAGAAGCAAAGTAAAGCTTATGTAAATAAGAATTATTGACAATTTAAATGTTTCAACATGATCGAGGTTTTTGATTTGAATGCAATGGTTTGATCGAAAAATATGATTTTCTTTTGATTCACTTGAAAGAAGAAAATATAGACTTAAAATTGGCTCACAAAACCGATGTAGGCATATTGAGATCCACGCACCGAGAAGAGGTTACGCAGCAAGAAATTAAACACGAAGCAAAACAAAACAAAAATTGAACAAAACTATATTCGACACACAAAAGAATAGAGAACAAGACGAATAGAGAATAAGACGAAATTTATGACCAACAACTTTTTTTTCTTCTTCTCTTCTCGTGTGTTGTTATTCTTTTTTTCGATTCTTCTTCATTTTCAATGCATCAGTATCGTAATCGTCGTCAATCGAGCGCGCTTTTTTTTCTATTCGAATCTCTTTGTTTCGAGTACATGCATACACATACACACACACAGACATAAAAATGGATGCTGATGCCTCTTTGACATGAACACAAAATTCAATCCAGCAATAGCAAACAAACGACAACGAAACAACAAACTAAAAAGGAACGAAGGAAAAAAAAACGCACAACTAAAAAATCCTACTGCGATTCATTTATTGAGTGTGTTTTATTGAAATGCATGCGTGATGTGGCTAATGGTACACATTACAATTTACACCGTACATTTGGCTCAAAGGAGAAAAAAGAAGAAGAAAAATCAACGAACGGCCTGGTACACACCAACACGCGCAAACACATTCTCATGAGTACGTATAAACAGACAGGTTCTTGAACTTAAACTAGAGGAAACTTAGTACAGATGAAAAAAAAATGAACAAAAAGAGTTGCAGCATGCATGCAACTCGAACAAATATGGTTTATTTTTCACTTCTTCTTTTCGACTCGTTCTCTGGTGCATTTATTGTATTTTATCGTCGTCAACGCCAAACCTAGTGTATTTTTGAACAACGAATCGCTCTTTGTTACTTCGTTTTCTATTTTATTGGGTATATCTCAATTGCAACGGATTGGCTGCAGCCTGTACGAATGCGATTCAATCTCTAGAGTTGAATTTTTCATTTTCGCATATTCTATTGCCCAATTTGGTCTATTCCACTTTGGATTTTATTTGAGCCAGACAAGTTCAAGCCTGCTCAATCATTTTGCTTCCATCTAGGTTTTTGGAACACTTTGTTGGTTGCACAACATTTGAGAAAATTGCATCACACCATTAAATGATATTATTTCGATGCTGAACGTTGCGACGTAATTTATCGAAACGTAGCATAAAAAAAATGTTGACAAAAATAAGAAAGCAAATGTGTTGAATTTGTTTTTGTTTTCCTTTGGCCGTGTTCGTTTTGCATTGAGTTTCTTTGTTTCGAAATATGAGTTCAAGTTTAACCATTTGTCGCTATAAAATGTCGACAGTATATGTGTTTTTTTAAATATTTCTATCTCTTCGGACTTATAAGATTGATATTATGCAGCAATCGTGTCATTTTCGTTCTTTTTTTTTCACTTTGTCCTTTTCTCGTTTTCTCATCGTTTCTCATTCTACGATAATTCCTAGTTTCGATTCAATCTCTTTTGCATCGAATGAACGAACGAATGGGAGAGAAAAAGAATATCGAAACTGAACACATAAGATAGAGTGTCGTATTGTCGCTTGGCTCGTTCATTATCGTTCATTTTCTTGCGTTGCCTGTTTTCTCGTCTCTTTCGGTGTTATTCGTTTCGATTTTTTTCTTCCTTCGTATGTGTACTAGTGAAATGATATTATTCAACACAGAATTCATTGTTTGATTGTTTATAAATACAGGCTTTTCACTGTTTACTGTTTTTTTTAATATGTGCACTAAAATAAAAAGTAACATCTGGTTGGCGTTCCTAGATTTTTCATTCCTGCACCTCTGAAGGAGAAGAAATATATATATAAAAAAAAAACAATTCGAAAACCGTTTAAAATGCCGTCATTTTCTAGCTAAACAATTATTGTAATTATTTCAATCGAGCTGTAGTCTCTTATGCGTTTTGGTAAAAAAAAGGGGGAAGACTTTAATTTCGATTGAAATTAAATTTAAAGTTTTATAGAAAAGTATGTATTTGATCGAGTCAGTCTGATGTATCAAATAGGTACCCTTGCATCCCTTCAAGGGACATCGAATCTCTTATTATGTTAAGGAAAAACATAAGATTTTTCTTACATTTTTTTTTCTTTCATAAATGAGATATATTTTCTCTGTGAAGTGACAAGTGCAACATATGCGATGCATTTCGAGCAAAAGAACGTTGGCATTCGTACACACAGCTCGGTGATTTTCTCATAAGCGTTTCTCTCTAAAATATGTTTAAAAATAATTGCGAAATCGTTGCAGATTAACGATCCTAGCTATATCGCTATTCCATCGAAATTCCGAAGTGCAATTGTACACACACACACACACACACACATACTCCTTGCACAAATGAAAGAAAGAGATATTCTGGTGAAAAATGTCACCGTGCAAGAAAATGCACAGTTCAAAAAATATATGGAAAAACGTTGTGTGCAAATTTAATTATATCTCTCGCACATGATTTCAAGATGTTCGCAAAATTGCAACGACATTCAATTTACACAGTTTTCATAGTCGCTGTTTTCGAGCGCACGATTTAACATACAGATAAAAAAAAATTATTATTTATGGAACGTGATCCAGCGCAAATGAACACTTGTGCGCATTCGTTTCTCTATTTATAGCCATCAATCATTATGTTTTTTGTTGAAATTTCATGGCGTACATTTGTAAGTGTGCGTCTTTATTTCTCATTCGATTTATTGTTCAACGTTCACATCTTAAAATCAAGCCGGCAACTGAAACTACCGTCGGCTTATCACTTTTCTCTTGCTCATTGTTTGTGTTTTGTCATCGTATATTCAATAACAATTCAGTGCGATGGTTCGATTCAAAAATGGTTTGATTGATTTTCGGTTTCTGCAAAACTTATCTCAAATCACATTTAAAGTAAACAATTTTCAATCATACGAACATGATTAATTTGAATCATGCTATCTGAGATTGTATACATTGTACACAACAAAGAAAATATCGCTAACACTCATTTGGCGACTTGAAATTGCGCATAAATATTTTTTTGCTTGGTTTTTATCTATATCTCTCGCTCTATCTCGAGAGAAAAAAAAGCAACAACCAAAGAATTGTTTGCATATACATTCTAAGCTGTTCTGTGTTATAATCTTTTGAATCGAACCCGATTCGTAAATGAATCCAAACAGAGATAGTGAGTATCATAAAACTACCCATTTTCATGCAATCGAATACATATCTATGTTGTACACAGAACGATCTTTATGCCTTTGTTCTTGTTACTTCAATGAATGCAATTTATGCGCGCATAAATAGCACTTTATTTTAGTTCAAGTTTATTCGGTGCTTTATGCGTTCATGTTTCAATAACATGATGTCGATTCAGTTCATTGTTTAGGAATTGCAATACAGCAAAGTGATAATGAACTAATTAAAAGAGTGCTCGGTTCACTTTTGCTCTCTTTTCTCATTTTGCATCGTATGTGCCGAGTGTGACGCGCATGCGAGTTTTTTTAAATACGTACAAATAGCTATTTGCAAGTTTGTATCGTTCGCCTTTTGTTTTAGAAAATTCACTGTGAACTGAACGCATTTGTTTCGTTTAATTTACTTACTCATTTCTCTAATTGATCAATGGAAATACTGCGCTTGCCCATTATCTGATTCAGTTTTTTACGCGCTTAGCGTACGCTTTTATTTTTGTTCCCATAATATTGTTAGAAAAATGATATAGACATGCAAGTAAATTGCACAAGTTAAAATAATTCTCATTTTAGCTCGATTTAATTGAATGTATTAAACGAACAGTGAAAAAGTATTTTTCTCGCAGCAACGAGAACACAATGATTGTATTTCCGCATTATCAAGACATGTAAATTATTAATTAAATTAAAATCTATTTGAGAAGCAACATCACGAAAATATATACGAGATAGACGGTTTATCAATGGCAAAAATTATCTGTATTTTCTTTGATTTTTTTTTGTTTTGTTTTTGTTTTATGATATTTACAATTTTTTTTTTGTATATTTCACATTCGCAAAAATGAAAACTCATCTCGTGTTCATATCGTTAAGCTAATGAAGTGCAGTGAGCACTCGTTGAAAACTTGCGACTGGCACTTGAAATTCACACTCGAAAAACATAGATGCGTACAGTTGAAACAGTTGCAAATCCAATTTGAATGCATGCGATGAAAGATAACCGAATGTGAATATGATATAACATGCAATGCGATATATTTATTGTTTGCAAGCGCCGTCAGCTATCATCACATATATAGCAGATAGAATGTTCGCTCTGTTTTTATTCAAAACGCATAAATCCCGCATCATCGAACTTCAAAATGCATCCAATTTCTGCTCTCATCCCATATCGAAATAGTCTGCGAAGATAGAGTGGAACATGGAAATTGGAACTGCGTACGAATATGATATTCATGTTTGGATTTATATTTATACGCGTCTAATTGGGTTTGTTAACTATGTGTGTTTTTTTGTTCTCTCAATATAGCACTCTGTCGTCTCTTCTCTCATTTATATGATGATAACAGTTATTAATATTACACATAATTTATTTCATTTTTACAAATTTAATGAAAGATATTGCATATCACAAAACACAAACAAATATTTGCATTTTGAGATATGCAATTGATGAATCCCGTTCCGCAGTCATTGGCTGGCTTCAAGTGTGTGCCGATTTATTTTTATTACGGTATATTTTTTTATTACGTTCAATTTGAGTGATTACATTTGGCGGCAGCGGCGGTGATGGTGGCAGCGGCGTAAATGCGTGGCAAAATGATTGAAATCAAAATGAATGAAATGCAATCGAACGAATTGAATTTCCAGACTGAAGGACCTTTTTAATTCGAAGTTTTTCAGAACAAACATGCACAGGAAACTGTTCAACCACGCAGCGCAAATAAATGTACTTAAAAATGCAATGCACATAAAAATTATAACTATTAATTTTTATTTCTGTAATATGCTGCCGTTTTTTATGTATCCATTTTTTTTCTGCAATGTTGTTTGATAAAAAAAAAACACCCAACATACAAATCACAAGGGAAAGAATCAGAACACTAAATGCAGAGACATTAAAAACAATTTTTTTACGATTTTTTCTCGATACGCAATAAATGTATCCATTAACTTGATTATACAGCAGCATATTTGTAGCTATATCTTATGTTGCGAAACCACATGCTTGAATCAATCGTCAGAATGAATTTATCAATCAAGTAATATCACTTGATTTTTAATGACTTTGGTTTTGTTGTTCTTTTGCTGCTTGGGCTGTTATCGGCCCGCGCCGCGATTAAGTACTTGTGTAAGCACTTGACTCATACCATTCATCGCGGCATTTTATATCCTCAATTACACACACTTTGGCTCGTGATTTTATGTCGAAATCTATTTTCATTTTGATTGAATTAAACCACACACGACGCAACACACACACACATAAGACTGAATTCATAGAAATGCACTTTTCGTTTCTTTTTGTTGTATTAAGATTAAATGGAATTGTTTTCTTTTTCTTTAGGATCACCAGGTATTCAAAGTGTACCACCCAGTCCATCGTGCTCACATCCAAATGGTCATGGTGAAGTATTCTTTCCACGTGGAAGCAACAGTAGCAATGGCAGTGGTTCAAGTAGTACACCATCGCCACCATCAACACCATCCAGCAACAGTACAGTCATCCGCATGCATGATGACTACCGATCGGCACAGTGGTCAGCACGAAGAAGTGTCCCAAGACGAAGGTAAATATTTTGAATAGATTTTTACCCTTTTCAATCAATCAGTCATTCCGACCGATTTTCAGAGAAATTAATTTTTTGTTTTTGAAAAAAAAAAACAAAGAAATTTCACAGAAACTGATACATAAAATCTAAAAATATTTTTTTTTTACTTTTGTTCTTTTAAAAAAATAGATACCGCTTGACATCGGCAAGCGATGAAGAAGATTATGAAGACGAACAGCCATTAAGCGATTACGAAGAGCATATGCAATATATGGCCGAACGTGAACGTTTGCAAGTGTTCCCTGGCCGTGTTCCACCGCCGAAGAAACGAGATACAACCAATACACAGCCACGTAAATCCACTGTAAGTATTCGTTTTCTCTAGTCATTTTTTTGTCAGATTTAGTCAACCAAAAAATATTGCCTTTAAAATAAAAATCACTCGAAGCAACGATGACAAAATCCACACATGTTCGATAGACACACAGGTGTTGAATTTGAACTTATATTCGGTTGGAGTGCAGGAAATCGATTTCAAGAGAGGAAATACCAATTCAGAATCATATTTTTTCGAAACAAAATGAATATTTTATTCGTGTAGTTCGATGATTTGTGCAGCAAGCACTATGGTTAGAATAAGAAATAAGAAGGGCATAAACCATTAGACACATAAAAATATAATCGTACATATATCGAATCCACACAATTGATAAATAAATAAATGAAAACAAGAGCTTGAAAAATAACGCGATAATAATAGTAATATATATAAAAAAAATGTATTGGAAATCAAATTGATTGTCCAAACAAGCGTGTCACTTAACATAAGTTCAATTGTCCGCCATTTACTCTGTCGTTAGTAACACACACTTAAACAAAAAGACACGAAATCGAATTGCAATAAAAGAAACAAGAGCATAACGCACGTGGCTATTGAACTGCGTATTCACCAAAGCACGTAGTCGAACAAGCGGCGGATTGAATTTAACGATTTTGTTACTCGTTTACAATGCACCTCCATGTTTGACCAATACCATTTTTTTACTCATTCCAATCAACAAATTGTAGACGTATTTTTTTTCAGCGCAGTACAAAAAAAGGCTCGTGCCTTTATTGTTATTTTATTAGTTATTAAACTTGTGTGTTTGCGCATACACAGTTTTTTTGTGCTGTTCAGTCACACAACAGTTACTTTCGCTCGCTGGTGTTCTAAATATACCCATAAATAATTTGGCATTGTAAATTGCTGAACCAATTGGAAAAATGGCCTGAGGCAAACACAAAATAACAACAACTAAAACTCATTAGCATAATATTGTTACGTATTTTATGCTAGTAGGTTTTTTTATTCTCTATCGACGAGACAAATTTTGCGCTTTGATTCTATCGATATTTATTTTTTTTCGGAAAAAATGTGTGCTTTCATTTCTGTTTCAATTTGTAAATATCTGGAAAAAAAATAGAGCAAGTAATACTGAATACATATGAATGCACTGGTGTCAAAGATCAAATCAATAAATAAACATTTTACACTAAATTCGTTTTTATTTGAACGCACCACACTTTGGCATTCAGCTGCCGATTTCTATTGACTTGATCTGCATTTGATCTCATACACATGTAAAAAAGAAGCCACTTTTACTATGCAAATACATCCCTAGTGTGTTGTCAATTTTTGATTTACAGCACATTTTTTTTACATCGGTGCGTTATCTGTATTGATGAAACAGCCAGTCACGAAAAACGGTGTTGTATTTCGAACATAACACACTAAGGTTGAAAGTTCATCTATTCATAGTTTGTTGCACACAAAAAATCACTCGTAAATAAATGCATTTATAATAAACCATTGACACTGGACAATAGCATAATTCCGTACGGGCATAGAATTTACTCTAGTTCTTTTGTATTGGAAATCGATGCGGTCGAAGCAACCACTCAGAGCACATATGTGTGTACCTTTAACAGTAGCAATATCTCTTAAACATATTTTTCCATTCGAATAACCAAATAGAGCATTCGATCAGACCCCTCGATGTCCGTACTTCACGCTTTGTCAAACGAAAAACATTCAACCAAAGAAAGTAAAATATTAACATAATTTCGGTGATTATTATTTATGTGCAAATATCAAAATAATCAATTTATTAGGTTATACTTAAACTGAACTACATTTTTATTGACCACTTCTGAATGCACAGCAATTGTCTCTTGCAATAAACTCCCCTTCGGCATCATATTCACTTACTGTTGCAACACATATAGTTAACCATTTGTTCGATACAAATTTTTATTCGCTAGATTTCAACAGAATGCTCGAAAAAAATTGACCACACAATTCATCCGGCGATCTGGCATAATATGAAAATGCTGTTAGCTGCCATGTGCTCAATTTTGTTTTTCGTTCATTCAATTTTATGGCAAAATGACCGATTGCCCTTCGGGAGTGAATTTTATTGGATCGTTTCTGGTTAACGCGATGATTTCATTCGGACGATTAAAAAAAACTGTATTCATTTTTCCAATATGAAATATTTAGTGTGATTTTTGTCTGGTCGTTTCGTGGAAATGTTTTTAGTTTTACACAATACAAAAAGTGTTTCTTCGAAAATTGATTTAACGTTTATTTATTTTCTGAATTTTCATCAACAGGATCCAAAGATGTGGCCAGCAGTTGCTGCTGTCGTTGTATTGGCTGTGGGTTGTGGCTTTTTAGTGTCGCGATAAATACAAATCACGTGGAAAAAAAAGCGAAAAAGATGATAGTTTAATGGTTGTTTCACACACAAAACAGTGCTGCATACGCAGAAAAACAACCAATTCCAGGTAAAAGTTGGCCAATATTGAAAACACACAAAAAAAAACAAAAACAAAACAAACCTCAAAAGAACAACAAGAAAAAAAATTAAATGAAAAACAAAATATGCGAACGGAGAAAACAACAGTCACCATCAGACCGAACATCATGATGTCAAACACCAACCATTTCACCGGCTCTTCAATATCTGTTCTATCCAAATTCTCCGCAAAACAAAGTAAATACACACACACCGAACATTTCAATAGAAATGCGATCATTTTCGATTCTTGGAGCTCTCTGCAACACCGTAGCCACACACAAAAACCCGACAACAAAAAACTGTAATAATTGTAAAATCAACCCTTATACTACCGTTTAAATATTATGTAATAATCCATCATTTCAAAATATTAATATTTAGCGAAATAGCATATTAAGAGGTTAGCGTAAAATGGAGCCATTAGCAAAAAAAAATCAAGCAAAAAAGCAATGAACAAAACAATAGTTAAAGTCCAAAAAAGAAAAGAAAAAAAGTCAAGGAAGCTAGTCCGAGGAAGACAAAGTAAAAAGGCATACACCCGACATTAACAATGTACGAAGGCATGAATGAATTGGTTTTGCAAAAACACCATAATTGGGCGTTTAACGTTTTGTGCCTCTTTATAATAAATTCAATTCCAAGAATATTTTGGTTTCGTTCAAAACAAAGTAGTTAAAATGAAAACATCTACAACGAAGTGTTATATTTCGTTTTTAAATTGAGACCGACTTTGATTTTTTTTACTTTGAGGACAAACAAAAAAAAAGTCAGATGGCTCAATTTAAAAAAGAAATTTCTTCGGAACTAAACCAAAACCATTCAGGATACAAAAAAACCAAAACCAATTGATTCAAACGAAAATGCTTTTAACGTGTGTTTGCCATATTTTTTGACATTTTTTTTATATTACTAGTTTAATTGTATCAAAGGTGTGATTTATCACATCGCAACCAAATGAAAACTTTTTGAGCAAGATAATTCAGTTAGTTTTCAACTTTGGTGTCAGCACTCTTGAAATTTTTGGTTTTTGACTATTGATTCAATTTGAAGAGAATAAAAACAATACTCGATTTAAAACAGAGAACAATAGAAACTTGTTTTTCATTAGCTATGGAATAAACAAGAAAAATCATTTGTTGAAAACCAAAAATAGATAAACAGATATTCAACACACACACAACGAGTCCGATGGATGACTTAAGATATTTTTTAGTATTTGTTTGATCGTTTTCCTTTCATTTTTTTTTAATTTGTCATAAATCTGTACATAATTCAATGATAATACCGAATTCGACCAAATTGATTTTGTGGCTCTGTCACAAATTAACTTGGTTAACAGACAAAAGAACAACCAACAAAACAAAAAATAAATGCACCAAAATGGGCATTATCGATAAAAAAATAATAATATAATGATATTTACAAAAATCAAAACAAAAAAAATCCCAAAGTGATTGTGATTTTGCGAAAACCCAAATAAAAAGGCGAATATCTTTTGTTTTGTCCGCGATGCTGATGTGTCGCTCGATCGAGGCATTCTTTTGTCAATTTTTTCGAATAATTTTATCGCTTTTCTTTCGTTGCTTTTGTTCCATTTCGCCGTAACTGAACAACTATCGTTCTTTACATAAGTTTCTACTTCATCTTCTTTTTTTTTCATGTTTCTTTCCGTTTATATCATTTCAAGTGAAAAAAAAAACCATTCAAACTTTTCTGCAAAGTTGTTTTCGGTTACTTACTTACTCCTATCCTTTTTCTATGTATCATTATCCGAACAGCTCATTAAAGCATATTGTGATTGAAAACAAGATGATGAATTTTCTTTCCACGCGACGAATAGAAAAAGAAGATAAATTTTTTTTAAAAAGAGAAGCGTTTATTTAGGTATCGAAGAAGAAAATCCAAAAATTTGAAAAATGAAAAAGAAAAAGGAGCATTTGTAAAATGCTTTGTGATTTTTTTTCTTGGCGAAAATTGTTAGTTTTTCTTCGCAAATAAAAAAAGGTGTTATCATTTTATATTTCTGTTTAAAACAAAGAAAAATGAAGACTTTGCCGCTGCCTGTAAAGATTGCACTTTTTGCACTTTCGTAGCGACTGAGCCTTTAATACAAAAAAAAGAGAAAATAAAAAAAAAAATTGAAAAAAAAAGAAATACACAAAAGATAAAATATATATATATGCTTCAGATGAATTTAGTATGTTCTCCCAAAATATTTGATCTAGTTGTATTCTATATCCTGTAAACGATACTCTATCTCCCCGAAACCGTTTTACTGGAATTTTTTGCTGTTTCCTTCGATCTCCAAAAAGTGAATGGTTTCTACTTAGACGATGTGATTGACTTTCAATGAGATTTCTTTACGAAATACACACACACACACGGTTTCGAAACATAAATAACAGATAAGACCAAACCACATGGAATAGAAAGCAAAAGAACAAAGATGCATTTGTGCTAAACATAAATTTAAAAAAAAAAAATTATTTGATCTCAATATATCTATTCAAAATGTGGAGAAGCAGTAAATACAAAACGAAAAACACATATATATAAATACTATATCCAAAAAAACATATTCTATTCTATATATTGCCACAAGAATATAAATATATTAAATGAAAATAAACCTATTCATATATTGAGAATTAAAAAGAAAAGATTGGGATTAAGAAAATATGCAAGCGAAGAAGAAGAAAAACACATGAAATTGAGATTCAACTACGATATATAATCATATTAATATTACACGCATACACACTACTATCAAACTCATACATACATACACTTTTTTTGAAAATGAAAAAAAAAACTATCTTTAAACAAACTAACACACGAAAAATTTTAACCCTTAATTTTGCAACATCATTTATTTTTTACATTTTCTCTAATCATGAAATATTCCATTGACGCCTACTTTAAACATTCTATAGAGTATAAAAATCAAACGAAATATTGCATCGAAACGCAAAAATGTTCCGATTCGATGAAGCGGATGCAATCTTTCGTATTACAAATAGTTTCGATTTGGTTCTCAACGATAAAAAGACACTATATTCTCACAACAAAATAGCATTTAACATTTTTAAGACAAATGATACAACACCTTCTCTTCTCCCACATTAAAGGAGCGACAGTGAATAAATTTAGCGATTAAGAACCATGTGAGGGTTTCAATTATACTTCAAATAAAGAACCGATTCCAATTTTTTTTTCATACACATGAGATTGCAATTTCATTCTTCTTGTTTGTAAAAAAGAAACACCATAATCTCAATAGAAAACACAAATAAAGATCAAAACATAATAAAAATATATATCAAATTGGTGCTGAAATTTATTGTAATCAATCGAACATCGAATCATCAAAATTGAATGCAAAAAAAAAGAAAAAAAAAAGATGAAAACAATATATTGTACATAAAAAAGATGAATATTCACACGGAGAAATCGCAATAAAATTTATTCACGTCTATATATTCAAAGTGGAAAATTAAATGAATAAACATTTAAAAAAAATTATTGGATATGTGCTGTAAATAGATGGAACAAATTTTTATCGATCCTTTTTTATTTTTTTTCAAAAAGCATGTTAGAATTGTGCTCAGTAAATTTGCGTCGGTAAAAAAAGGTGATCTGCTCCGTATTTGTATTTTCTACCAGTTTTTCTGATCTCAAAAACAAAAGTATAACAAAAATTTAAGACGATTTTTTGTTTTGTTTAGCATTTACCCTACTTTATTTAGTGCTGATGACCAAGCTCTTAAGCAGATGATACGCATGAAATTCGAATTGCCATATATTATTTTTGTAATTAAAAAGAGAAAAAAAGGCGCGCACCAATACAGAATTTCTTATAATTATCACTTTTACTTAATCAAGTTTGGTTTATAATCTCTCTTACTTTAATCATTTTTTACTAGACTTTTTTTTTGTTTCTGTCAAAATAAAGAAAAAAAAACAAATCCTCTTGTACATATAATTGCTTAAGGAAGAAAGTGTTCTCATTTGTAGCCAAATCTAATGGAATAAGAGTGAAAATACACATGGAATCAAGAACAATTTATAATAATTTCTTTTTTGTTTTTTTTTGGTGAAAGAAATGATGAATAATGTTCATATAACAATCCCTGGATGAAACTAAATGTTCACCACTTTATTCTCCATTCTTTATTGAGGCCGATTGAAGCCGACTGCACCAAAATTCTCTCTCTCTATCTCTCTAATCACGTCACGCATACATTTGCTTTATTGTTTCTGATTCTATTTGATCCTCCCATGTGAGACAATTGAAAAACTCAACTCTTCATTCATTGGATTCGACCACGCGAACATTTGACAGAAACGAAACAACCAAAAAAGTGAAATTCACGAAATTTCTCAAAAAACATAGTCTCAAAAAACCGCGTATTTTTTACGATGAAAAAAAAACATAATGTATAGTTCGCTTTAGTTTACAGAGTTTTCAAATGATCTCTTATTTCTCTCACAAATTTTCGTTCGTTCGTAAAATGCCTTCTCATTTTCCTGGTTTTAAGTTTCTGACTCCTTCCCCATTATAGACATTAACTCGCATAATAATACAATTTTTTGCTTTCGTTTTCGAGTTTTTTTTTACACGCATAATTAATAATTTCATTTTGGAATTGTTTTGCTTCAGCTTTTTTGTTCTTGATCATATTTGCACGTGCAGCTCTCTGCATCTCTCTCAATTCTCGTAGATAAAACGTAAATGTGTAAGTTCAAATCAGTAAACAATATTTAGAACTGGTAAATTCAATTTGATAATCACGCAAAATACGAATGAAAGCAAGGAAAAAACATGACGGAATTAAAACAGCTAGCTCTAATTTTTTTTTCAAAAGAAATGTGTTTTTCCTTTTAAGTAAATGATCGAGATTAGAATTGCCTTTTTTATACAACAAAAAATAATAATTTTTAGATTAATTGGATTGTAAAGACAAGCGATTTCATTTTTTTTGTGTCAAAAAGTAAATTCTTATTTTAAATATTTGTGAGCACGCGGAATGCAAACGAATATTGTATCGAAGACGGAAACAGCAATTCAATATCGTAACACATTTTTTTTTTTAATTTGTACATAATTAAAATTAGAAGGAACGAAAAAAAGAAAAGTAAAAAATCGTTATAAGATTCGTATTAGCATTTAGTTGCCTGTATTTTTCTCTCTCTCAATCTGTCCATCCAATCGAGAAGGCTTATGCAAGCGTGCAATGCACTCCTTATTGATTTAAGCATACATGCATGAGAATTCAAGAGAAAAATGGACGAGAGATGAAATTATAATTTTAATTGTAAACTATTTTTTTTTTCTTTATTTTTACGGTATCCTTAATCATATTATATGTATCCAACAATCAAATCAAAACAAT